TGTCTCTATCTCTATCCCTGTCTCTGTCTCTATCCCTCTCTCTATCTCTATCCCTGTCTCTGTCCCTGTCTTTATCTGAATTGGGTAGCTGATATCAGAGGTTTGAAGATTTAGGGTATCGTACGTTATAAAACATGTCAAGTATGAATACAGCGGAAATCTGATTGCCACCAAACCAGCGACCATTAAGCCCATTGACTGCATTTTGTGCGGAAGTTATACTGTCGAATTTCATGTATATGTCTCCCTAAAGATTGGAAAATGCGTGTCTGAGTCGACCCTTTCAGCTCAAGAATAATAAAGCATATTCATGTAAACAGTATTTACCGCTGAATCCTTATCTACACTAATATGAACCACTGGTCCATATTTCATACACTCATTTTTTACATCCTCTTCGAGTTCTTCAGCCCAATTCGGCTCTGTCTCCCTATTTTATACAAAATTCAAAAAAAATTATCAATGATATGCAGGAGAAAGAATTTTGAGCCAAGCGGTCATACTTACTCTTCTGGTTTAAACATGTTTTTCAACAAGACACAGCGAGTAGGATTGACTCTCGGCTGTATAGGGCGCGGTCTATCAAATATCTCGGAAATGAGTATTAAATGGTCAAGTTTGTAAAATAACAGTAGAAAAATGCTTACGGCTCCGCAGGGGCAGAAACAGCTGTCGGTGTAATCAGATCGGTGTCACGGGCCAATTTCTGCATCAACTCCACTCGCGACTGAGCATTGAGGGCTAAACCAGCAACATCTATGCAGGAAATAAACAGTTACTTCCAAGTACAGAAACCTAAAAAACTAACAATGTCATTGCGAATAATAAAGCATAAAGTTGAAATGAGAGACAACTGGTGTTTCTCGCACTATTAATTTGCGCAAGTCGATACATACGTACAAGTGCGAGTGTATATCAGCTTTGAGATTTAATTGGGTTTCTTGCGCTTTCGATTAACAATGGAATGAATACTTTTTTCTACAGGCACAAAAAGAAATCCTAATCTTTCCTCTAAACTGAGAAAAAGATCGAAGCGTAGTTCAAGGTGAAATTACAGAATTAGAAATCGAGTGTACAAATGAGGAAGAATAAGAACTATTTTGTGCAGCAAAAGTCAATTTTTGACGACTTTATATTTACGATTAACAAGAAGGATTAAACAACTTTCTTTGAATATTATTCTTAAACTTGAAGACAAATAGCATTACAGAAAGAGAGCGGGGTTTTTACCAATTTCATGACATCAGCGATTAGGCTTTATTTCCATAACCGTTATAATCTGATATAATAATAATAATAATAGCTCACACAGTTTAAGTAATTAATATTATTTTGAAATTCAATCTCTCACTTTTCCTGTAAAGAAATATCTTTATCAAGACAATGAAATCAAAGTTTTAGGCTTGCTCTTTCTTTGTCGACTACAGTAGCTTTACTAAGTAGAATTCACGTATGGCCTTCTGAATCAAATATCACCGCGTATTATTATTATTGTTGTTGTTGTTTGGCAAATTAAAATATGCTGATCAGGTGATGATAAATAATTTTGCGCCATTCGATCTTTTTTTTCTGCACACAGTTGTAGAATTCTTTCAAGTGCGTGCAAAACTTAACGTTCTCGATCCATTCCTACAAACATGGCAGATGATCTTGATGTGGAAGCAATGCTTGAAGCACCTTTTCAGAAGGGTCAGGTAAAATAGTGTTATGAAAGCTTGCTTTATCCAAAGATCCACATAAATCATAGCCGTTCTCAACTGTCATAGGCTATATCGGATGTTTATATGATCAATGCAGGCAATGATCCCTCAAAGGAAGAAGACAAGAGGTTTGTCCAAACTGTCTTTGTGTGTGGTTTTAATACGATCCTTGACATCTTTTGATTATATCGGATTAGCACACATTCCAGCGAAGAGCGACGACGGCGTCGAAGTTCCTCACGTTCCTCCAGTTATCGCCATCGTTCTCGGTCGAGATCGCATCGCTCACGTAGGTCAAGGTCGAAGTCGCGAGACAGGCCCAGAAGGCATCGTAGTCGTTCAAGATCCAAGGACAGAGACAGAGATAGAGACAGGGACAGAGACAGGGACAGAGATAAAGACAGGGACAGAGACAGGGATAGAGATAGAGAGAGGGATAGAGACAGAGACAGGGATAGAGATAGAGACAGAGATCGACGACGACGTAGTCGATCACGTTCCCGAGATAAAAGACGGAGAAGTCGTAGCCAGCGCAGGAGAAGTCGAAGTCCAAGTCGATTTAGGCAGGTTTTATATGATGTTTGTCAAGTTAATTGTTTCTTTGCTAGATGGAGCCGAGCCAATGTTTTGTTATATTTATTGTTATTAACAGCGAGCGTCGTCGACGCAGGTCTCCTACACCACCCATAGATGAAGAAGAGCGAGACAAACGTACAGTTTTCGTAATGCAGCTTGCAGCACGTCTTCGAACTCGAGAACTAGCAGACTTTTTTTCAGAAGCGGGAAAAGTTCGCGATGCAAAAATTATTGCTGATAGAATATCTAGAAGATCTAAAGGGTGGGTTTAAAACTTAGATTACTTCTATCATAACACAATGACTGATTCGTAAATCGCCATTCAATGTACAGAGTTGGTTATGTAGAATTTTATGATGAAGAATCGGTACCTAAAGCATTAGCTTTATCTGGACAGAAACTTTTAGGTATCCCCGTTGTTGTTCAATTGACCGAAGCAGAAAAGAACAGACAAGCCAGACTGGCGGAAGCAGCGTACGTATAAAGTGAGAACACTATAATTTGCAACGTTTTGGTTGAAGATTAAAGTAGCTCTCTTTCAGGGCATCACACGCAACAGACATAGCCTATCACAGGCTATATGTCGGGTCTGTTCATTTCAACTTGACCGAGGATGATTTGAGACAAGTGTTTGAGCCATTTGGTCCATTAGAGTTTGTAAATCTCCATAAAGATCCGGAAACCGGTAGATCAAGAGGATTCGCTTTTATTCAGTGAGTGGAGCGCACGTTTAGGCTTTCTGTCCTCTTAGTTTTTAAAGGATAATAAACTTTATTTCTATTTCATTTTTGTTAGATATAAAAACCCAGAAGATGCGAAGCAGGCATTAGAGAAAATGAATGGATTTGAGTTGGCAGGGAGGACAGTAAGTGGTTAGAGTATCTGTCGACGGCCAATTATTTCAACCTCGTTAATCATCTTCTTTGTCCAGATTAAAGTAGGTTTAGTTACTGACAAAAGCAATGGCATGAATTTAAATCTTGACGATGGTGGTCAGTATGTTTTCGCAATGACATTGTTAGTTTTTTAGGTTTCTGTACTTGGAAGTAACTGTTTATTTCCTGCATAGATGTTGCTGGT